TTGCAGATTCACCTGCATATTGATGAGCCATGGGGGAGGAGCACCATCTGGCATACCAAGAGCTTCTTTTAGTTCATGTGAAAGCATGCCTGGCTTCATCTCCCTCAGTTTCACCTGAACAGAAAACAGGGAAATAAAATTAATACAAATTAAGTTAAACCTTCAAAGACTTGTGCCATAATTAGTTTGTCATGAAGCATAGAGAATACAACAGATTACTGCCTGAATCCTACATGGAATAGAATTCAGTACAGAGTTATTAAATTCTCCTCTAGTCAAGAAAGGTAAACCAACTGCACAGACAAAATGAACTACTCATTTATTTACTGCACCTAGCAACACAACTGAACAATTCAATACAAATGCACGTATAGATAATAAAAAGCATAAATGCTGTCACAAATAAGCTACCAAAGAAAATATTCACTTGACAAAGAACATTAAGTTGTGTATGGAGATGCAGGAATAATACCTCAAACTCCTTCCCTTCATGGTACAGATCACCAAGAGTTGTCAACTTTGGCTTAGTCTGGTACTTGAAAAACGCATCATGGAGAACCTAACAAACAGGAACCACAGTCTCATCAGTAAGACAACATATGATCACTGCAAATGCATGTCCTCTAAATTACAGCATTTAAACACAAGTACAAAGACTGGATGGAAATTGTAATAAATGGAAACCTGATAATCAATATCCATTTTCCCCATCTTTGGCTGCATACGTTCTCGTTGTTTTTGCTTCAATTTCTTACTATCTTCTTTTTCAATGTACGCCTGCAAAAGACACCAAAAAGTGATGAACCAGCAACACTGTTAGACAATCGAAATGACAAGGCAGATAAAACCATAATTATATTCTGCAACCCAAGAAAATATGCATATGTATTCACAAGTACATAGGAAATTAAGCACTGGCAAGACAAATTCCATGTAAATACATCGCTGGTGAGATTAGAGTAGATGCAAGTTTCAAAGTTATAAGGTTAAAAAATTTAACATTTATGATCCAAACTTTAATGAACAAGTAGAGCTTGAACCAAACTCATGCTGTCGCATAAAAATCCAAGCTCCTCACAAGTTTTCAAGCACAGTACAAAAGGTTAAGCTTGGCTTGTTTAATTAACCTAATATTTTCTTTGAACTCCACTCATTTCTTTTACAGTCCAAGCTCAAATGAGCTGAACAACACAAGTCAAACTTAAACCTCATCGAGACAATTACAGCCTATTCATGTTCACTATTTGAATTTAGATGCAAGTTGACGCCACAGAGAAGAATACTCTAAACATAATTATCTCATGACCAATTTACCTGTCTAATTTTCTCAATTCCCGTTGCAGCAATGAAATCAGGGAGCTGAAATGGTTGTTTCTCGATACCACGTTTACCCTGCAAAATCAATCCAGATGAGATACAAGTAATCATTTAGAATCACCACTATAGTTTTCCACATCCAAACCATCAGTGTTAAATTTTAAAATTAGAGTCGTATTGGGCCTGATGACTAAGCATTATGGGAAGGCATCTGAAAATTCAAAGCAGATATATCAGCGCCTTTAAAGTGAATGAAATCCCAAAATCCATCATGCAAAGGTGCTACAAATATCCACAATAATAGTACTAAATTATGCCTAGATCCCCACCCCCACTAGCAGATACATATAAAGATAAATCATTCAAGGTGCCATTTTCCAAACACCTACAAGTCCAGGCTCCATGGTTGTCACAGCCGCTCCCCTGCAAGAACCACATGTATACATATAAGAGAAACCTCATCGACGTGATCTTCCCGCACTCTATTCCCTAATCCCATCATGTTAATCATACCCATTAATCATGCATACACATTTTAATCAATAGTTTTAACATTGGGGGATCACTAACCTGCAGAAATTTCCTTTTCTGACACCAATGCCTTGGCACAGGTACAGTATTACGATATGATTTCAAGAACACCAGCAGCTTAGGATCAGCTGCAGTTGCATCCCACACCTGAGAATATGTAGCCAAACAATCTTAATTTCAAACCTTAATAAATGGACAACAACAAGAACAACAGATAACAGTAACTTAAATCAACACCTCAACAACATCGGGCCTTGCACAGATCTGTTTCAATTCTGCAATCTTCATTCGCCGTTGAAGCTGAAAGGTAACAAAAAAATTGTCTTAGCAACAAAAATAATGCTGCTAATAAATAACGTTAACAATAACAATATCAACAACCTTTTTCTTTTTGTTTGAAATGCCTCCTTTCTCTTTTTGCTGATTATCCTGCTCGTCCTCATCCGCATCTGAGTCGGCCTTCTTTTGCGGGGCTCCATCTTGAGACTCATCCTTCTTATCCTCCTGGATGGATAAAAAGATTAATGCATTGCGCAATATCCTTCCAAAATAAATTAAGCACACTAATGTCTTTTATTTATTTATTTATTTTAAATTCCCTTTTTACCTCAGCACCTGCAGAGTCCTGGAAAGTGAATTTTTCGAAAATTTTTCTGAACTCCTCATCCATGCCATCATTTAATGCCGCTTTCTCTGGAACATATTCAATTTCAACTTTCTCAACAATCTACACAGTTCAGAACTTACATTAATACACATTATAAGATGATACAACAGAATCAGCAGATTATTTCAACACCATTAGAAAGCTTTATTCAGTCGTTCACATGCTACTGGGAAAGAAAAATTAGAAGAATGAATCTCTGAAGAAAAACATATAAAGTTTTTCAAGATTAAAAAAATACACTAGAAGAAAAGTAGTTCAACAATTTTCAAAATGATTTTGCAAAAATTACCACCGCCGTGTACATGAGCAAATTGATTAACACTACTACCTACAACAAGAAAGAAAGAAACAAAATAAAGTTTGGAATTCCACTTTCTTCACCATTTAAGATATAGATAAGACACAGGGTGAAGATGCAATAGAAAATGGCTACTCCTAAGCTGCATACGATATACTCATTACAAGGTAAGAAGTTACAGCCAAAGGACTAAATATCAAGATAAATTCCAATCCAGGTAAGAATTCTTTTTGTGAAATTTAATCAAGAGGTGTACTTCTTACAGTACATCCAAAATAAAGAAAACTAGAGGGAGAGAGACAGAGCAAGAATATGGTTCGACCAATTTCTACAATTAATGGATGGGCATGATTAAACACTTAACATTGCCTTTTGTTTTCGTGACTTCCATAGCAGTTTCTAAGTAAGCGCACAAAGCGCAGTGTCCAAACCCTACGCTACTTAAGCAATAGAAATTGAACCCAAAACCCTAATCCCACTGATCTACTAACTACGAAACATAATGACATCGAAATCAGACCTTCAAAACCCTAGAAATCAGCAACCAATAACAATTAACTAAACATTTTACAAAATAACCAGACAGAAAGAGAAGCAATGAACCTGTTGAGGAACTTTGCTCTCCTTGGCATCACCATCGTCGCTTTCGTCGCCGGCGCTGGCCTCCGGCGCCTGAGAAGCTTTGTTGTTCTTCTTCTGCTTTCTCCTGCGCCGACGTCGTTCGCTCTCCTTCGAATTCTTGGAGGCGGTCGCGTTGTTAGAGACTGGGTTCAGGTCGCCGTTCGCGACGACGCCGTTTGGCTGCGAGAGAACCTCCGCAGTCATGTTTAGGATCGGTCTTGAGGCCTCAACGAAAACAAATAGAAAGAGGCTCCCGCAACGCAGTGACTGTCTGTGTGTGTGTAAAAGGGGGAATTAATTGGGGGGCGGATGATGGGGTTGGTTTTTATAGGTACACGAACTGGCACGTGACTCATCACGTGAGAGGCAATAGCAATAGTTGGGCCGGGTCAAGGCCCATTGCGCTGGCCCCAAGATAGATAAAATTTGAACTGGACTTTGGACTTTAGGCCCAATGTTTGCTCAACTACAAAGCGACATCCAATCCATTTATCACCAGCTGGCAATCCTTACCATAATATGATGTGGATGTGGATGTGGACCATAATTATGGTTTTTGTTCTCCTCTCAAACAAAAATTATGTATTTTTTTGTTCTCATTTAAATAAATAAAAAGGAGATCCTTTAATTATATGAAGTCACGTCAATCTTTATGATGAAGTTGGGTTTTTTTTAACTTTATTTTAATTTAATTTATCATCAAATGCGTATAAAGATAGGGAACTGTGGAGGGAATGGTGGCTGGGGTAGGGGTTGCTAAGGGGGGTGGTGGTGAGTCGAGAATTGGAGAGAGGACAGAGGGATTTAGAGTATTTTTAATGTTATGAAAATACTATTAGTAAAATTAGAGAGAGAAGGGAGTTTTTTTTTTTTAATGTTATTAAAGGGTATTTTAGAAATAATGGTGAGTAAAAAGATAGAATTGTCTTTTTTTAAATTTATATGGTAATTGATGAGAAAATATGACAAATTGGTGGAAATAGCAGCACTTTAAAACAATGTTGAATTTTAAGAATTAATGGATGTGCATACCTTTGTACATAACAGAAATTTAAGAATTTTGTACCTATGTTAGATTTCTAAAAAGGATAGAATCTGAAGAAGATTGCCTTCCAAATTTGATGAGCCATGCATGACATTGTGATCCTCTTCAATGAGATAAATTTTAATATTTTTATTTTTATTTTATAAAATTTGACTGGTCCATGCAATTTGAATTTATGACTTTTTTTTTTAACAAAGCTTTGACGATGTGCTGTGACAGTTTTTTGACTCTTTTAATTGTACAACCTCCATAAGTCTCGCCGACATATGATCAAACAATAGTTTTATAAATGTAAATAAATTAAATAGACTCTATAAATAGTTTTATAAATTCCCGAACGAAAAATAGTTTTATAAATGTCAATTTATTTAAAATTTGTTTTAAAATGCAAATTTTATATATTTTAAAGAAGAAGAAGAAAAAAAAAAAAAAGCAACCCTTTTTTTTTTTTTTTGTTGGACGAAAAAAGCAACCCTTTCTTAAATGTGCAGAATCCTTATTTTGCTTGAGAAAAAAGGGAAAGAGACGCACAAAAAAAATAAAAAACATGAGAAAATGTCCGTGATGTGTGTAAGAAACGCGGGTCAGTCCATAAAAAACCTCTTTCTTTCTTTCATTCACTCACCATATGTGGATTCTATTCTAGTTCTTACCAAAAAAAACATCCTCCTCTGTTTCAGATCCGTGAGAAAACACATAGAAAATCCTCTGTTCTTCTCTGGAAAATTGAGTTGTCTCAGCTTAAGAGCTCAAAACAACAGTTGACCACGTAATAAAGGTCCTCGCTTTCTCTTCCTCCTCATAACAACACACAGAAACGGCACAGAGGAGGAGGAGGAGGAGGAGAGAGAGAGAGAGAGAGAGAGAGTCCCATATATTATATACATTGTAGACACAGACCCATCTATATATCTAGAGAGAGAAGGAGAAGAGGTGATGGGGTTGGTGGGTGGAGAGGAAAATAAGAATGCTACTGAGAATGGAGTGTCTGGTTCTGAATTTCCACTTGGGAGCAAGACCAAGTACAAGAGAATGGAGTCCGAGGTTGTAGACACAGAGGAAGATGTTCCATTGACAAAGGAAAACCGAAATACCAGGAAATATGTCTTTGCCTGCGCCATCTTTGCCTCCCTCAATTCCGTGCTTCTTGGATACGGTTGTTACTTGAACCTGATCTTCAACATGATCTATATGTTTTCAGCTTGATCTGCTTAATTCTTGATATACTATTTTGGTTTTATTCAATTTTTGTTTTCTATTTTTGTTTTTTGTTTTCAATGTATTTTCTTTATTTTAATATGTTTATATTCGATCTATTTGTTTGGTGAAGACTCAATCAACTGGAGTTATGTGTCAGACTCAATCAACTTCTTCAGTTGTCTGGCATTTTATATAAACAATAGTTATAGCACAAATATAGTGCACGTTTAACTTGGTGTTTTAGTGAACTTTTTTCTGCAATTGATGTAAAAATTTCGACGAATGTTTTCAACTTAATTGTTAAAAGACACTTGTTGTCTTGTTGGATTAAAATGTTACAAGCCCGTGAAGACAGTTGGCTCATCTAAGTGGACGCAATTGGATGCAGATGAAGAGTCATTTTAGTTTATATATTGAGATAACCCAAGTGAACAGAAATATCATGTTTTGGGTTAAGTTCCAGAAATATAGGGTGACAAATTTCACCTCTGAAGTTAAAGTGTCATCTTGCAATATTCTTTTTTAAATGCTTTGAGCAATTGAAACTAGCATAATGAAGTAAAGAATCTGCTTTGACAATGAAAGTTATCGCCTTTCGAGAATATGTTGTTCCATTGTTTTTTCTTTTCTCTGGGCCTAATCCATTGTGATTTTGGTTTTTATTTAAGAGGATTCTTGAAGTCAATCTTAACCTTTCTAATTTATCTCCCTTTACTTAGCTGGTAATGTGGGTTTAGTACAACTACCTGGTTTATAATGTGTATTTATCACTATGCAGATGTGGGTGTTATGAGTGGAGCAATTTTGTTCATCCAAGAGGATCTAAAAATCACAGACGTACAACAAGAACTTCTTGTTGGAATTTTGAGCATAATCTCCCTATTGGGTAGTTTAGCAGGTGGAAAAACATCAGATGCCATTGGTAGAAAGTGGACAATTGCATTTGCATCCTTTGTCTTTCAGACTGGTGCTCTCATAATGGCTCTTGCTCCTTCTTTTGAAGTGCTGATGATTGGTAGACTCTTTGCCGGAGTGGGGATAGGGTTCGGGGTCATGATCGCACCTGTTTACATTGCTGAGATTTCTCCTGCAATAGCCAGAGGCTCTCTTACATCTTTTCCTGAGATATTTGTAAATCTAGGTATCCTTCTTGGATACATATCAAACTATGCTTTTTCGGGACTTCCAGTGCATATAAGCTGGAGGGTCATGCTTGGTGTGGGAATCATACCTTCAGTCTTTCTTGCATTTGCTCTTTTTGTGATCCCTGAATCTCCAAGGTGGTTGGTGATGCAGAATAGGATTGAAGAAGCAAAAATAGTACTGACCAAGACAAATGAGAGTGAAAGTGATGTGGAGGAAAGATTGGCTGAAATACAATTAGCTGCAGGGATGGCTAATGCTGAAAAGTATGAAGCAAAAGCTATATGGAGCGAAATTTTGAGTCCTAATCCTGCAGTTCGTCGAATGCTGATTACTGGTTGTGGAATCCAATGTTTCCAACAGATTACCGGTATTGATGCAACTGTGTATTATAGTCCAACAATTTTCAAAAATGCTGGGATCAAAGGCAACACTCAACTTCTTGCTGCAACTGTTGTTGTTGGGTTTACCAAAACTGTGTTCATCTTGGTAGCTATCTTTCTCATTGATAGAGTGGGCAGAAAGCCTTTGCTTTATGTGAGCACAATAGGAATGACCACTTGTTTATTTGGTCTGAGCCTTGCTCTAGCTCTTCCAGGAAATGGAAAACTGGGAATTGGATTGGCAATATTAACTGTTTGTGGAAATGTAGCTTTCTTTTCAGTAGGAATTGGCCCGATTTGTTGGGTCTTGTCATCTGAAGTCTTCCCTCTTAAACTTCGAGCTCAAGCATCCGCCCTGGGGGCTGTTGGTAGTAGGGTCAGTAGTGGTGTGATTACCATGTCCTTCCTCTCCGTGTCTCGAGCAATAACAGTAGCAGGAACCTTCTTTATTTTTTCAGTGATTTCAGCTCTCTCTGTTGCTTTTGTCCATACATGTGTTCCAGAAACAAAAGGAAAGTCTTTAGAAGAAATTGAAATGCTTTTCCAAGATGAAGGAGAATGGCAAAGCGGTGAGGTTGAAATGGGAGATGCAGAGCGTCTAGTGCAAAAAGCATGAGTGGGAGGCATACTTGATTGCTAAACCACAAACTTCCATCAGTAGAGCCTGCAAGCCCGAAGCCATATTAGGCAGGTTGCGGGTTACACATATTTTTTCCTAGTATACTTATTTTTCACCAAATTGTTTGAGTATTATTATACTGATTTGTCTGCGAAGTGTACCGATTGCACATATTATAACAGAACCAAAAGAGGTCAAGATTCTGTCATCTTGTTCTTGGCCCCCATGTACTTGAACTTATTTAGAGCTTCCATGTTCTTCACCATGAAGGCTCGTAAGATAGAAATCAGAAGGCGTTGAGTTAATTGAAACAATAAGGATTGTGTTTCTGGTTCTCTACAACTATATAAATTTTATTAAGCAGCTCTAAATCTAGATGTGTGGTTCCTATGGTTCTTGGTGGTTTTCATTTGTTACTGAATAATCTATGGACTCTTAATTTGTTTTCATTTGCCATTTGTACCAGGGCTTAGTCAAAGGCCTTGTAACCTTGTTCCACTCAATTTTTCCTATCAGAATGTAGCTGATGTGAGAGTTTTTTTTCTTGTTTCTGTTCAACTCTTCAAAGGGTACTTTGAATCCAATTATCGTTGTTAGATAATATGGTTCAATGAAATAGAAAACGTGCATGACACATCAAATCCAGCAAATACATTACCTTATCACGCAGGTTGCCAGGCAGAGGAGATTTCAGTTCTGTGAACAAAGGAACACTTTCCAACATCCAAAGACTTCTGATTGTGAATGTGAAACATTGAGCAACATCTGCCACAGAACTCTCATCAAAATCAGAGCCTTGAGATATACTGGAGGGCATGCTTAGTGGGTGCCTTTAGAATTTGTTGTATTCTCCCAACTATTTTTTGGATCTACTGCAAAGACTAAACATACTGCTAGATGTTGCATTAGCGTTGGAATATCTGCATCATGGTTATTCAACCTCAGTGGTTCATCATGTATCCGATTTTGGCATTTCCAAAACTCTTGGCCGAAAGGGCATCGATATCTTTGTGATAGTTGATCTTTATGTCTTTCGAGATGTGCAATATATCATCTTCTATTACCTAAAAGCCTTATATCTGTGTAATGTTAGAAGCATCTCAGAGAAATTGAAATATGTGCATTGCTTAGTGTTCTGGCTGTTTGATTGAATAAGCTTGACAGTACTATCGTGTCTACCTTAATTTTAGCAGTAATCCCTGAATCAATATGTTCTTTTAGGATGATATCAACATTTACTTGATGAGCAGGAACATAGTGAAAGTGAAAGAACATATTAAGGCCACATGTGGTGGAGACCAACACGTTCAACATAAAGACAAGGACAATCACATAAAGGTTATACTTAGATGCTTAAACATATACAACTTCCAGTGTGAATCTTGTCCTTGAGTAGAAACTGGTCCCAAAATAATCCCTCCTTTTAGGTCAAGCACATTCAATCAAGAATTAGAATCTACGTAGGCCAATTCACAAGAACTGTCTCTCTTTCTTTTTTTTGTACAAAGTGATATTGGGGGAGGGGGGGGAATCAAATCTATGACCTAGAATACAGAGTTAAGAACCACTTAAGCAACAAGTCCATTGTCTTTATACAAAGAGAAAACTAATTGTGCATGTAGGGCTAAGGTGGATCATAAATATGGCCATGTGGCCACTCTGTAAAATACAAAAAACTATCTGCAAAGAAGATGTAGTGAGTCACACTCCATGATACAGAGATTGGAACCCATTAATGCTTGAGATCTGATGTTAGCAACTTCAGCATGTTCTGAAATATACTTGAATGAAATTTTATCGTTAAGATCGCTTGAAAACTTTACAGAGGAAGAAAAACAATAAGTCAATGACTTGTTTAAGTCCATCTTTCACTCAATTAATTAATTTATTTCTTCTTGTTTTTTTTCTGATATCTTAAAACACATGGCAGATAAGCATGATAAGCGGCATGTCTTCTGCCTTGTTGCTCTGGACAATTAGCAAGAAGTATGTGCCTCACCTAAACATGCTTACTCGAATTCAGATAGATCACCACAATTTGCTAGTGCTTAACCTCCTCAAACACATCCGTACTTGATCGCATTACAAGTCACGCGAAACCCGATAGAACCCAATTCAATCTGCGTCAACCTTCTACTTTGATGATTTTGAACCCATCAAACAAAAGCACCGACAAGAAAAGTCTTTACTTTCAAAATTGAAACTCTTAGAGGCCATAATAAATTATGGATTAAGGGTTACAATTTTGGCATCTAATCTTAGGACTAATGAGAGAATATAAAAGGGAAGCTACAATTTTGGCATCTAATCTTAGGACTAATGAGAGAATATAAAAGGGAAGCATATAGTGACGTGCATCATCAGGCCAGGAAGTAGGTGCCCATATTGATTGGAAGCTTATATATCGCTTTCACAATAATGTAATCAGAATGGAGATTCAAAGGTTATATATTATAATAAGCTTTTTGCTCCTTATAACTTGCTTCAAACAAATTAGACAATCCAAAACTACTCCTATAGCTTCGACATTTTAAGTTCATGAAAGATTCCCTACACCTCATGCAGTATGCAGAAAGCCTCCTCAGAAAAGAGCAGGAAACGAAATCTTCAAATGCTATAAACTTCTTTGCATTTTCTGATCTCCATAAGAGAGTACAAGTGCAGAAAATTAAAAGGGCCAAGATAAATTTCTTCATCATGAGAACCAATGATAAATATACAAGAAAAAATAATTTTGATTTTCTATTTTTTCTGTTATTATTTCTTTTATTCCTCCCCAGCCATTCACCACCACAATATCTGAATGAACCGAGTTGGTAGTTGAAACATATCTTACATACAAAAACAACCAACCTCTAAAACAATGAACAAGACAAAGTAACACATGCACAATTTATCAACCTTATTCTATCTTGACAGAGCTTGAAGCTGAAGAATTGGGAAAGATTGAAAATTCTGACATTAGATGATCAATAATGCTTCCCTTCTCAACATTCAGCCGTCTACTCTGGCTGTTCCACAAATGCAGTGCAAAGCTTTGAGAACGAATATGCCTCAGCTTTGCAAGTAACCACTTTGAGTGAAGCTCATCTTTAGGACCCCGGAAGAGACTCCGAATTCGGCTCCAATTAAATGGATAGAACGCTGAGGGTGTTAAGACAGTGAAATTAAAACCTGGGTTTTTCGGATTTTCTCTCACTCTTGAAACCACCCTTGAAACCAAGTAAGGGCCATTGTGACCCCACTTGTTCCCATCAAATGTGAGAGCAAATTCTTGGATAAACTTGAATATCAATGGATGGTTCTTATCAAATACCAACACAGCATTATTCAGTCTGCTCCAATTCCCAGTTTGGGCATCAATTGCCTGAGCTCCAATCACATTTCTCAACTTTGATAAACTCTTTAGCACTATAACATCTGTGTCTAAATAAATACCACCAAACTTATACAACAAAGCAAGCCTAAGCAAATTAGAGAGATTTTGACCCAAAGAAACTCCACCAGGATTCACTTTCCCTGTCCTTAGCTCATAATACCAAGCTTCTGCAGGAGTGTTCTTGAATAAGTAATCAAAGTCCGGAGAAATTGCCATTACCCTGAAATCCATTTCTGAGAATGGCCTCAAAATTCGACTTCCTTTCTCTGAATCCAGCGAATTTGAGACTATGGCCAAACAAGCATTTGGATGGGACTTGAACAAGCTCTCCACAGCCAACAATTCCCTGTTTCCAAAAGTCTTGGACGAAATCCAAGTCATAAAGAACCTGACTTTACAAGAAGAAGAGTTACCAGCAAAGAAGTCTCTCATTCTTGTTGAAAACAGAGAGAGTTTTGGTTCAGGGGGTAAGCTTTTGAGCTTGCGCTTGTGTTTTCTGATCCGCCTTGGCCTTCGGAGTGAAAATTTTGAGATGGGTACCATAGAATTTCTTGGGTTGTGCAGAGGAGGCAAATGGGTCTTTAAGAACATAGGCGCATTTTCTTCCTTCACCACGTACATCACAGAAGAAGAAATTTTTGAACTTGAAGAAGAAGAAGAAACATGCGCAGGAACCCAATTACTTACAGATTCCCCGGCGAGATTTCCCGGGGAGAAAATGGCGGGGTCCGGCGAGGGCTTGGAAAGAGGAAGGTAAATACAGAAGACATAGAAGCCATTGTAGGCCAAAAGGAGAAGGAGAAGCAGAGCAAGAAGAGAAGTGGGCAAGCTAAGAAGAACGGAAAGTATCGATCTTTTTAAGTATTGCAATTGGTTGATAAAGACTATGAGTGGGTTGGGAAGTTTGAGACTTTCATTATCAAACATGGTTTGTTTGGTTGGTTAGCTGGTTGTCTGGTTTGTGCTAGCTTTTACTGAGAGAGTTCAATTGGCTCTGGTTTTGTGATGGTAGAGACTACTGACAAGAGAGAGGACGCAGCTTGAGAGTTGCAGAGAAAGTTGAAGAGCATTTTAGTGGCGAAAGCGGCAAAAGATTGAAGTGAAATGTTGTGTTTGGAACCAAAAATATACACCCGGTAGTGGAAGTTCCCACCACTTTTCTGTGTTTGTAGAGAGAGAGAAAGTCTTAGGCTTGGCTCCACGCCAGTGGCTCGCTTTTAGCGCGTATATCTGAAGCTTTTATTTGTTTTATTTAAATAAAAGATTGCTAAGAATGATAATGAAAAATCAAAATACTGACCAAATTCGAGAATGTAACTCGCTTTATTAAATGCATGCAATAAAATAAAATTCATGAAAGAATAAAGAAAGTGACAACGGTTCATATTAATTAATTAAGACAAGCAAATGATAAAGATTTGTGTGATTGAGTAAACAAAATTTCTTTTATTAAGACAAGCAAATGATAAACCAATCATAAAACGGCTTTGTCATTTGTACGCGTCAGCAAAAAAAGGATTAAGCTTACTAAATAACACAGTAATAAAGACATGGGTAATAAAAAAAAACACCTAAATAAACTCTTCTCGACTCTTCTTTCTCCCCCAACCCAAAACCAACTCCATATCTGAAATTCTCCTTGGTTCCAGGGGTTCTCCCCTGGAACCACCCCCTTCGGTTAACAATCCGGGCCTCTCTCCCTCTCGTTATGTTGTGGAGAGTTTTCCCTCCCAGCTTGTGTTGGGTTTTGTCTGCACCTTGCTTTTGCAAGGTTTTGTTTTCTTTCCTTTTTCTTTAAGGTTTGTATTCCAGTCTTCTGTGGCTGGTTTTTTTGGATGATCTTGCTAGATATGCTGCTATTGTGGTATATCTCATGTAGATCTCTCTGTATTTGGGGTGGAGCTGCTGAATTCGGTGGATCTACATTTATTGTGCTTGGGGATCAAGGA